GCGGACGATATCGTGCTTCTGTCAGATAATCTGGGAGAGATCAAAGACATGCTCCAAAAACTGAATGACATACTACAAGAAACTGAGCTGGAGATAAATTTCGAGAAAACCAAAATGATGACCAATATGGTTCCCAGCGAAGAGATACAGATCAATAACAACAAGGTAGAATTAATCGATAAATACACATACTTGGGTCATGAAATTAGAATAACCAGAGACAACCAAACCTGCGAGCTAAATAGACGAATCATGTTGGGATGGGCGGCATATGGACGGATGAGAGACATTTTTAAAACAAATATCCCAATTCACCTGAAAAGGAAGGCATTTAACCAATGCATCTTACCAGTCTTGACCTACGGAGCAGAGACCTTAACTTTAACGAAAGCTACTGCCGAAAAACTGCGGGTAACACAAAGGCGAATGGAGAGATCAATGCTGGACCTGACCTTGAAAGATCGCGTAAGAAATGAGGAGATACGCCGACGAACTGGCGTAGACGATATTATACTGCGAATCAATAAACAAAAGTGGAGGTGGGCTGGACATGTTGCTAGAATTCAAGACGGAAGATGGACGAAGAGATTATTGGATTGGAGACCAAGAGCCGACAAGCGAAGTCGAGGCAGACCACCCACCCGATGGACCGACGACCTAAGGAGGATAGAAACAAACTGGATTGCAGCAGCTAGAGATAGAGAGAACTGGAGACGTTTGGAGGAGGCCTATATCTAACAATGGATGTGAAAATTCGGCTGGATGATGATGATGATTAGGAGAAAATATGCTTGCTACAAAATACACAAGAATAATAATTAGAAAATTGCTGAAAACGTGGGTAAAACTAAGCAAACCAAAACTCAACGTGGTTGGTAAAATGTTCGAGTTGTATGAACAATTTTTTAATACAAAGAAGACTTATGAAATGTAATGTATAATTAATTGAAATCAGTCTTATATTTAATTTAAAATACTTAACCATTTTATTTCCAGATCTATTTATATTTCTTAGAAGTTTTGATTACTTAGTTAATTAAAAAGTATATCTATTTTAATTTGTAACTCCAACTAACGTTTTTCAATAGTGATATTAAAATCGCAAATTTTTTAATTAAAACATAAATTTATTCTATTCTTAGATTGTGGTTCTTTGCTTCTTATATCTGTAATCTGCAGATAAGAATAAAAGCAATTCTGCACAAGCGTTAATAGATACTGATTTTCATCTTTAAAAATTAATTTCAAGGAAGTTTGTTTTTGTATTTTTAAAAATGAAAAATGTATCCTCCATATAATTTGGAATAACTTTTAAATACTTTCTTTTACTGACATTAGGTGTTTTATCATAAAAGATTGGTAAATACCGGGTAACCAATTTCTAAAATAAAACTAAGAATATTAAGTAGGTGAATATGGCGGAGTAGGTATAGCATTCGACGATCTATTACCCCATGCCTATTAAGAAGATAATATCAATTGGCTAATTATTCACGTAATTATGTTCAATATTATATGATATCATCAATCCCATTAGATAATATATAGCTTTCGTTAGTAATTCAAAAGTTTCTACAATCATTTTTCCTGTTGAAAGTCAAATCCGTTAATCAACTGTATTTTAATGGATTAAAACTATGCAATAAAAAGAAACGGTAAATTTAGATATGCAGGTCCTACAGTGATAATAGATAATGTAAAGGACTTCCCAATTTGGCTAAATTGTATACATAAGGTAGAAAAGGAAAATGTTCATCTAAAGATGTACTCACATTTCTATTTAAATTGCTATTACTTCGTTTTCTTTATTATTTTTAGTTAGTTATTATTTTTTTACCACATTGAACAATTAAGAACAATTAAGAGTAACTCAACGGGCCACGGAGAGGGCCATGTTAAATATAAGCCTCAGAGACAAAATTCCTAACACCGAAATACGTCTAAGAACTAAAGTAACCGACATCATGGGAAAAATAGCGACATTGAGATGGCAATGGGTAGCACATGTAGCAAGACAAGACACCAACAGATGGTCTCATAAAGTGACATTCTGGAGACCTTGAGAAACAAAAAGAAGCGTGGAAAGACCTAAAAAGAGATGGATAGACGATATAACTGCTGTAGCTGGAAAGCAGTGAATCAGAATTGCAAAAGATACGGAAGCGTGGAAGCAATTGGAGGAGGCCTATGTCCAACATTGGATAAATGAAGGCTGAAGAAGAAGAATAAAAAGAAGAAGAATATTTTTCCTCCTCTTTCTAATGTCAACCCATTGACATAAGTTTCAGCCAAGAGAACTTCTTTCGTTAGATGCTTCGTCTTTGTGGTGTCTGTTGTTAATGGTTCTTTATATTTATACATGTTCCATCACTTGATCATTTACTACTTTCTTGATTCATGGTATTTTGTGTAGAATACTTCAGTTGAGTTGAATTTTTAATTGGTACTGGCATATTCTCAAAGACACACTTCCTGGGACTGACAAATCGTACTACTACGATATAACTATCTTATATAAATCAAAGCGGTAGCGGCGAGCTTTTGCTAGGAGATCTAAACTTTTTAATGAACTATCTGACTTCTTCTTCTTCTTATGATGCCCTATCCAATTAGTGGATATTGGCGACAATTCTGGCAGCCTTCTCTCGATCTTGTGTGGCTCTAAAAAGTGCATGGGCATCGAGGCTTATCCGATCCCTTATGTTTTTAAGCCATGAGTATTTCTTCCTTCCGATGCCTAGTTTTCCTTCTATCTTCCCTTCTATAATAAGCTTTAAGAACTGGTACTTGGAATTTCTATCTAAACTATCTGATAACAAAAAGAGAAATCATACGATTTCTACCTGGCGAAATCAAATTCAAATATAAGCCGCCGTGCCCCCTAAGACTTGCGAAGCAAACAGCTTGATGAATGCATCGGCAAGGGAGTCTAAAAATTGCACTCCAAATGCCGTTCATCATGGCCTATATTCGTAGTGAATTCGATTTCTGGTACTCCAAATGAAGTAAATAAACAAAACAAAATGACAGTATTATATTTTGATTTGATACAGAGCAGCAACAAGCCGCATATACGTATTTCGATCTCTTTAGATCTCCTCAGTACGGTATAGTTACTACTCCATATCAAACCAAAATATTTTCCCGTCGTAGATTATAGTTATTAAAAATAATTATTTACGGACGTAACTACGCCATCTAAGAACAAAAAGAGAAATCATACGATTTCTACCTGGCGAAATCGAATTTGAATATAAGCCGCCGTGCCCCCTAAGACTTGCGAAGCAAACAGCTTGATGAATGCATCGGCAAGGGAGTCTAAAAATTGCACTCCAAATGCCGTTCATCATGGCTCATATTCGTAGTTAATTCGATTTCTGGTACTCCAAATGAAGTAAATGAACAAAACAAAATGACGATATTATATTTTGATTTGGAACAGAGCAGCAACAAGCCGCATATACGCATTTCGATCTCTTTAGATCTCCTTGATATGGAGTAGTAACTATACCATACTGAGGAGATCTAAAGAGATCGAAATACGTATATGCGGCTTGTTGCTGCTCTGTACCAAATCAAAATCTAATACCGTCATTTTGTTTTGTTTATTTATATCATTTGGAGTACCAGAAATCGAATTCACTACGAATATAGGCCATGACGAACGGCATTTGGAGTGCAATTTTTAGACTCCCTTGCCGATGCATTCATCAAGCTGTTTGCTTCGCAAGTCTTAGGGGGCACGGCGGCTTATATTCGAATTCGATTTCGCCAGGTAGAAATCGTATGATTTCTCTTTTTGTTCTTAGATGGCGTAGTTACGTCCGTAAATAGTTATTTTTAATTAACATAATCTACGACGGGAAAATATTTTGGTTTGATATGGAGTAGTAACTATACCGTACTGAGGAGATCTAAAGAGATCGAAATACGTATATGCGGCTTGTTGCTGCTCTGTACCAAATCAAAATCTAATACCGTCATTTTGTTTTGTTTATTTATATCATTTGGAGTACCAGAAATCGAATTCACTACGAATATAGGCCATGACGAACGGCATTTGGAGTGCAATTTTTAGACTCCCTTGCCGATGCATTCATCAAGCTGTTTGCTTCGCAAGTCTTAGGGGGCACGGCGGCTTATATTCGAATTCGATTTCGCCAGGTAGAAATCGTATGATTTCTCTTTTTGTTCTTAGATGGCGTAGTTACGTCCGTAAATAGTTATTTTTAATTAACATAATCTACGACGGGAAAATATTTTGGTTTGATATGGAGTAGTAATTATACCGTACTGAGGAGATCTAGAGATCGACTGTATCAAATCAAAATATAATACCGTCTTTTTGTTTTATCTGATAACAATATTTAAAGCAAATAGAGTGTCACAATCACACAAAATAAAAATGACGATACTGGACCATCTGTTCTCAAAGGGAAGTAAAACCCATGATACACAAAATGTCTTCTTTTCTAATTATTTTATTGTTTAATGAGTAGGACCTGCTGTAAACAATATTACATAGTGAAAACCGCAGAACTAGATGACTTCTACGTAGAATTTTTAAAAATTATGGACAAACACGCAGTTAAAAGACTTGTCTTGTTCTTGAAAAAATATATCGAAGTAAAAAATATCCAAACAGTAGCTTAGATCAACTTTGATAACAATACTTAACAATACCTAAAAAACTTAATGCGATAAAATTTGAAGATTATAGAATAATAAACCTTATAAAATATCTAATGATTTTTTTTTTAAATACTACATAAAAGAATACATAAAATATGACATACATAATTCGTACTTAGGAATTCATTGGGCAGTTGAAATGCACTTTTTGCAATAGTAGTTCCCTTTCAACGATGTAGAGATCTAAACCTGTGTTTTTGGTAATTATCAGAAAGTGTTTAATAAAAGAAAAAATAGTCACCTTGATTTAGTCAGACTTTCATGTAATTTAAAAGTTATTCCAAAGATTAATTTGAACAAGCACTTACCTTGACTGGAGCGATAGTTTCTTCTACAATTTCTTCCTCCTAAAAAAAGAATTTTTTTATTATAGTACTTTCTAAACGTTTTATTTCAAATAATCTAAAAATATTTAGGTAACTCTGTTCTACGAGATACGTGGTAATGTATAAGAATAAAAATATTGACTACTGAGAAGCGAAGAAAGAAAAACAGAAGGATAAACAAAAAAATATCTCAAAACATGAAAAGCATGTCGAGCATAGCTCGACATGGTATTTTTTAAATACCATTAAAAAATAATCATCGGTGGCTCCATCATCACTATTTTCGATTTTGGATTGTGCATTCTCTACATTTTATTATATTTTAAGCTTTATTTTTTGAGTTTTCTGTTTCTAAGATTACAATATCTTCATTATACCTAATCCTCGATATTCTCAGGATTGCATATTCAATTATCACTTGTTTGCTTATTTTAGTCGGTATTTCATCTTTTTTCTTTTTTTCTACGTGGTAGAAATATGTCTAATCCAACATAGCTTTCTTTTTTTTATTTTAAATTACATGTCTCGGCTGCTGCGGCCATTGACACGAGGAACTGTATTACAGAATAACAATAAATTAAGTTACATTGATTCAATAAATTTCAATACAGATGATATAAAAAAAAATAAAGAAAAAACTAGCGGATGATTACAAAATTGAAATATAGATAGATGATACAATTACAACAGGTGATATAATTTACAGTTTTTAAGGAACTCTATCACATTACACATATTGTTTTTAGATTTTAAAATGTCACATAAACTTCCGTGGATACCATGTTTGATCTGTGCTGCTGCGTACTGGTTACATTCCACAAGTATGTGGTGTACACTTAAACGGGAGTTTTAATATTGGCAGTTTAAAGGTTCTTCGGGAACCAGCAGATATCCGTGGGTTAGCCGGGTGTGCCCAATTCTGAGCCTTCTAATGATGGTCTTCGATTTTCTTTCCATTGTAACAATTTTAGGTCCTAAAATGTTTGGTTGGATAGACTTTAGTTGGGTAGTGCACCTGTTCCATTGATTTTGCCACATTGAGGTAGATAACTTTTTAATTTCAATTATTATGTCTTGAAACATTTGGACTTTTTCATCATCCTTCCGTCGCTCTGACCTTACCACTCTGACTGGTAAGGTCAGAGCGACGTGCTTCATTTGCTACGTGGTCAGCATTCTCATTTCCTTTAATACCAACATGTGAAGGATTCCACATCATCAAAACCGAAGTGTTTGATTTAGCAAGTGCTGTACATCTTTCGTGGATCTCATTAACTAAAGGATTTGATATGTAGATTTTTCTAATCGAATTTATGGATGATAATGAATCTGTGCAGATTGCTAAGTTTTTGGTACCCTGCATTGGAACCTCTAGAGCTTTAAGTATAGCGTAGAGTTCTGCTGTGAATATACTGGTCATCTTGGGTAGTCTATACATTGCTAGTATGTTATTTGTGGAAGTAACAGCACATCCGACACTTTCTTCGTCTTTAGATGCATCTGTGAATATTATGTTATCAAACTTGCCTCTATTAATTATGTCGTTAAAAGTTTGTTTCATGAGTATCGTGGGTGTTTCCATTTTCTTATATATGCACAAATTTACGTTAAAGTCAGGTAATATTTTTAGCCAAGATGGAGTATTGGGCTGAATAATGGGGGTGGTGAGATTTAGGTCAATATTTTCTAAGAGTGGCAATAGAAACTGTAGTGATGAATTGGCAGTAGCTCTACTGTGTGCTTCTGTTAATTGAAAATTTTTAATAAGTTGGAACATACCCTTCTTGTTTATGTATATAATATAATATTTTGTAGCGTTTAATTTTTCTGAAAAAAAAACGGGCCCTTCAAATATTGATTGTGCTATAATTATGATATCTGGTAGACTAAATACGCACGTAAGTCTAAATATGCAGTACTTCAATTTTCCCTTATAATTAATTTTGTCTGACTGTGTTCATGTTAAAAGTACGTACTTTTTCTCAAGAAATCAACTGCGTATTATAAACTGAGTTGCATTCCTTTTTTGAGTACATATTAAAAATATCTATATTAACCATTAATTTTTAAATTAGTCTAGATGTGAACTATATATAAAACCCAGAGGCTGAGTTTTAAGGAATTGTTGAGCCCAGTTTTGTAGTTGCTATGGCTGGTGACGTTAAATGGTTAGTTTTTTTAAATACGGTTGTTTGATCTTGAACTGGCATTTTTGGCATTAAGTAAGGTTTTTTCTTGTGTTTTAATTATAAAATGTAAAAATAATTTCATATCTTTTTAGAGTTTTTTACTGGGGCTGGCATTCAGTAGCTGTGCTCATCAATATGTCACCACCTCTGCAATGGTAATGCCAGGCTACTACGGAGCCATTTTTTGTCAATATGTCATCAATTTTCCTTCTTTATCATTTCTTCGAGACAAATAACGCCAGAGAGTGTTCAGACCACAGAACTAAAGCATTGATGAGCCACACACTAAAGGTATTTTTAAAAATAATTCACAAAAGAATATTTAATAAACTAGAAGAGGACATAAGCGCCACACAGTTTGGATTCAGAGGTAGACTGGAACACGGGAAGCTTTGTTTGGTCTAAGTGTGTTAATGCAAAGATGTTTGGATGTAAACCAAGACCTCTACGTAGGTTTCATAGATTTTGAGAAGGCCTTCGATAAAGTCAGACACCAAAAGCTGTATGAAATCCTAAGAAGCAAGAACATCAACAGTCGCGACATTAACATCATATCGAGGTTGTACTGGGGACAAACAGCAAAAATCAAAGTTGATAATGAGTTAACCGAAGAAATTGAGATTCGTCGAGGTGTGCGTCAGGGTTGTGTGCTTTCACCACTATTATTCAATATATATATATATATATATATATATATATATATATATATATATATATATATATATATAGCGAAACAATATGTCAGGAAGCACTCCTAGAGCAAAACATTGGTATGAACATTAACGGAGAGTTAATTAAGGTATAGTAACAGATAACCTAGCAAATTTACAGTTTTTGATGGAAAACATTAACACTCATACTAATAAGTTAGGTCTAAAACTGAGCATCAAAAAGATTAAATGCATGATTGTAACAGAGAAGCTATACACCAATGTGAATTTAACCATAAATAATCAGCCAGTTGAAAGAGTAACATCCTACAAATATTCAGGGGTTTGCTTCACTGATACTAATGACCAGACAAGAGAAATCAAGAGGCAAATAGAGATAGCGAGACAGTCGTTTGTCAAAATGAAAAAGTTCCTATGCAGCCGGGATATAAATATAAACTTAAAAACAAGAATGTTAAGGTGCTATGTTTTTTCCGTTCTGCTGTACGGCATGGAAGCCTGGACATTGAACCAGATAAACATCAAAAACATTGAGGTATTCGAGATGTGGTGTTACAGGAGAATGTGGAAAATATCATGGACAGAGAGAGTAACAAATCAAGATGTTCTGCTGAAGATGGGGAAGGAATGCGAAGTCATAAAAACCATACAAACGAAAAAACTGGAATATCTGGGCCACATAATGAGAGGAGAAAATTACTCTCTGCTTAGACTCCAAAAAAAAAATCTCGGGAAAGAGAAATGTAGGACGTAGGAGGATTTCCTGTTTGCGAAATTTAAGGAAGTGGCAGGGGTGGAGTTCAATACAGTTGTTCAGAAATGCAGCCAACAAAGTAAAGATTGCTGTGATGGTAGCCAACCTCCGATAGGAGACGGTACTGCAAGAAGAGAAGAAGATCATTTCTTCACCGACGAGGTAAAATTGGGATTTGGCCTGAGGGTAACTGTACTTTTTGCTAAGCAACATATATCATAAGGTTTGCGTGGAACTATTGACCTGTAATTTCAAGATTACATAACGTTACAGTTTAAAAACCAAACAGAATTGTAGCCAGAAGAGGATTTAAACAAATTGGACGAATTATGTCCAAAAAAAAGAAACACTGGCTACTTTGGCTGATATTTCCTATTTCCCAAGGTAAATTTTAATAAACATTGAAATTTATTAGAAATGCAAATCCTTCGGGGGTGGATAACAGCAGCTTATTTTGTAGAATTGTGTTAACATTTTGTTAAGCACGTTAAAAGTATTTCCCAGAAAAACCGGTTCTGCTATTGATAGATAACCAGGACTCTCACCAGCCCATTGCTGCTTTAGATTTCCAAATCAAAATGACGTGACTATGTTGCCTTTTTCTTCACATTGTTCACATAAATTGCAGCCATTGGACAAATCGATTTAGATACCTCTTAAAAAATATGTCAACTTGGTCTAAGATTGCCTGAACAAAAATTATCCTGGCGCAAATATGTCAATTTATGATATCCCTGGTGCAACTCCATTGCCTCTAGCTATTACTCTTAAAAACATTGCAGACAGCTTTATGGTGACTGGAAGTTATCCTTTTAATAGGTATATCTTTGCAGAACAAGTGTTTACGCTATCATATATTTCACAGATCGTTCCTACCCACGAAGTAGTAATTTAGACAAAAATGAAGAGACTATAACAACACGTTTAGATGAAAAAGCCCCTACTAAATGATAAAAACTGAGAGTATAAAAGGCAGTACACCCACAATCAATCATAAGATCCCTTTTCCAAGCATGTCCACGACAATTATCAAAAAGAGATAGAAGATGTCGCCAAAGATAAAGCAAACAAACAAACAAAAACAAACAAGTTCCAAAAAAAAGTTTAAGCTTACAAAACATCATCAAACATCTGCTGATTATATAGACGACAAAGACTGTTCGTGACTTTACTGTTGCGATACCTTTAAAAACATTGGGTATATTGTGAATGCACTGAGAGAAACAAAAAGATTTTTTCATGTATGAATTGTTTAAATTTAATGAGGGCGGTAATTAATAATAGATAAAGATAAATAACTTTATTAGTGTCTATTAATTAATATCTTCCTTCTGGATACGTTATTAAAAAACAAAAATAGTTTAAAATTAGTCGACTAAATAAAAAAAAAAGGTTGCCGGCAACGTGACCCGACCTGCGACAATTTGCTCCGAAGCATGGTAAGTTGCCGCATAATGTATCGCGCTGAAGAATACAGTTTTCTTCAAAATCTTATATATTGACTACAGAATTTTCTTCCCACAATGGCGCTACATCCCGAATCGTGTCTTATCCTCCTCAAGCTATGCCTCTAACCTTGCCCAGGTTCCTACGCCTATCAGATTTTGGGCGTCCACTGCCACTTCATCCTCCCACCTTTTCTGTGGCCTTCTTTTGGTCTTGCGCCTTGCATTTTACTATCTAGGACTCTTTTTAGTAATCTTTCGGTTTCACTTCTCACTACATGACCAACCCATCGAAGTCTCTAAAATTTAACAAATTCTGAGATCGGCGATTCTTTAACCAGTTGGTAAAGATCATGAATGTACCTGGTCTCCAAATATCTTCTCCAAAAAAAAAATTTAACAAATTAAACAGTTGGTAGGGATATCATGAATGTGACTGGTTTCCAAATATCTTCCTCAGAATTTTTCGTTTAAAGACTTTTAGCTTTCGTTTTGTGTCTTTTGTCTTCACTCATATTAGTGTGTGTGAGCGAAACACATGGGCGAGTAAAAGCTTTGTTACTTAAAAAAAATGTGATTCTGCTAAATTTCAACTAAGATCCGAATATATTAAATTATTGCTCATAGTTGTTTTTAAATCAAATACAGTTGTGTAAATGTTCTTCTTTTTCTTGTTATGTAGAGATGACTTTGTCTGTTTTTAAATGTGCCTCCAATAAGTTGTCGTTCCAACATTTTCGTGGTCTTGCCACTGATTATGTCTCTATTGGGAAACCCTCTCTTGTCGTCTTTACTATTCTATTTGTTGTCATTAGGCTTATTTGATAGTTTGATAGTTTTTCTGTACTTCTAGCTCTGTTCCATAGTGTCTTACCATCAATTGTTCTCTGTTTTCATTTCCGCTGTTTCTAACATCATTTTTGTCGTCTCTGTGTCAGGTCGTGTTTCTGTCACGTATGTCATTCTAATTCACACATCTAATAACTGTTTTGTAAATTCTGCCTTACATTTTTGTTCCGATATTTTTATTTCTCCATATTGTTTATTCAGGTAACCTGCGGCTCTGTTTGATCTATTTGCTTGATCTTCCACTTTAGTTTCGAGATATCTGTAACTAGATAATGTGATGCCTAGATATTTAAACTCACTTGTTCTATTATCTGACCATCCAGCACCAATTAACATCTCAGTAAATTTGCTGTTATAACTATGTTAGTTGCATCAGATTCTCTCTCTCTCTCTCTTTTCAACCCTGACCCCCCAGGGGGAGTGTAGTGGTTGACGTGATGTCGTGTATTGTCCGTCTCCAGAGATCTCTGTCTCTGATCACTTCTTTTAATTCATGCATAGGTCTTTGGCATAGTCCTGTAATTTGATCTATCCATCTTGTTGGGGATCTTCCTCGTGATCTTCGGCCTCATGCATCAGCTTACAGATATGTAATCCAAAATTTTATTAAATTTTTCGAATAAATGCAAACAGTAAAAAGAAATTAATGAGACAAATAGAAGCAAACTGAAACATTGAAGACATGCATTTAAAAAATGACTAAAAAGTAAAGAAACAAAGAATCTGGAACTATCGATAAAGTTAGCTAAGTCTCTTACGTCAAAATACGTCTCTGAACAGTTAGTAAAGTTCTTTGTGTTGCAAAACATAGTAAGATAGCTTTACAGGTTCGATTTGTAACATGAAACACGTTCAGTAATTTGTGCCATTTATGGAAATAGCCATTATTTGATGAGATCTTATATTTTATAATAAAACATAAAATATACTGCAAAATACTGTTTTCAAATTCATTTAGTTATCCCAAAATGTGTTGAAACATCAATTGGATCAAAAAAATAATAAAATAATAATAATTAAACTAATTTTAAAGTACAAAATTTAAATTCCTTTTTCTTAAATGTGGGATAAGAGTTAGAAAGTTTTACATACCTGTTGGACTTCTTCTAAAGCATTTACTACTTCAACTTCAGCCATTTTTTCACTTGTTTTTGAGAGAAGATTCGAAACGAGTTAATAGTTCGAGTTCACTAGAACGACTAATTAGGCAGTTGATATAAAGAAATCTTTATCGAAATCAATTTCCGGACCTAAAGGTTGGCGATATTCGATATTATAATCTAATTTCCTTGAAAGCTCCGCGATTTTTGGCTAGATACTAGATTTTATGCGTGATATTGATATAATGTTATATTTGATCACAATTTTTACATATTACTGAGTTTATTTCATCCTTAGAGATGTTATTTTCGCTACTATTTTAACTTTGGATTACTCGCATAGCAACTTGTTACATGGCCGATCGCGTGGGATACACGTGTGTTCCAGGAAAAATCAGGTCTAAAGTATTATAATATTCAATTGCCGTTTTAATATAAAACAAAGTTTGTTTTTACAAAATATTTTTAGGCAACCTTATATTTTGTTAAAAGTGAATAACTACATTTCATAAATGAAGTTTGGATAAAACGATAACCAGACAATTTTTTTTTTCTGTGGCACATTTTAAGTAGATGCACGACCTGTGATTATTTCTAGTGCTCTTTGCAGATCCAATGACTGCCGAGAAAACAACTGTTTCAAAGAAATATGAAGCATGGACCATTTCCAGTTTTGGTCTTCTTTGGTTGGGATATAGATGTTTATGCGAAATTTAAAGCTTCTTCCAAGTGTTCTTTAATTCCAGGTGAAAATCCGCATTTTTACCTCTATTGTTTTCATACAAGATTAGGGCAAAATATCCTTTTAGTCTGCGGCTTCATCAGATCCAAAGCTTAGCTGCGAAAAAAATCGCGCCGTACAACACTTAGGTTCAAGTTATACATATGGAATAGTACTAAGGCGTTTATTCCTGCTATATTCATAATGTCAAAGAAAGTAATTAACGGTCATCTCCTACTGTTTCTGACGACATTATGAGAATTACACATTTGATCTACAACATCAAACCCGAACTTAGACTAATTGCTGTCCACTACCATTGTTCATTTGCCAGTATCCTTGTATATATGGCTTGTGGATAGGACAAGAGCATTTTTCTTCTTCTTTGGGATGAAAAATACAAGGGTGCAGTCTTTATGAAATGCAAACTGATACTAAAGTCTGGTCTTTCCGTGATTTTTATAAACTCTATAGATATCTTCCGCTTTAATTCATTATTTGGATATATTGCTAGTAGGAAGCTAGAAAATTAAGTCTTTATAAGTTATGTTATGGTATGTTTATACATATAGAACTTAAGTCCCTTAAGAACATCAAATATGCTATTCTATAGTCAAAGGGGTCCTTCTGGTTAAGATTCTACGTATATTTTAATGTTCACAGTAAAAATGTTACTTAAATCATTTATTGTACTACCTTAATGGGCATCGAACTCTAAAACTTACAAGTTGTACAAGATCAGATAAATGTATTACTGATTTCTGGCAGTTACTTATGAATATCTCTGTATTAGAAAACGGACAGCTGTTTTCAAAATAAAAGATCCCAAGACACCAACTCTTTATAAAATTAAAGTTGCCTCGTTTGGATTGTCAGAGTTCTTATGTTGGTCAAACTTTACAATGGCTTTAACACATAATAACAGAACACAAAAAGAAAATACGTATGCTGCATTTGACCACCATTTAAAAACTGGGCATCACTTTGATTAACGAAATGTCAGGGTTTCAAGGGAAAAAATAGTTAAAAAAAGATTGTTATGCCACATTAATAAAGAAAAAGAGTTTATAAATTATCAGGCAGACGCGAAGAATTTTGATGAAATCGGGAAAATTTTTAGATAAAGAGGAATAAAGATAATATTTACCCTCCAACAAAAACTTTCATCCCTTGTCCGATCAATCAAAGACAACACGAAGTTTGAGAATTTCCTTGTGCAGACTGCCTCCAATCTTCAATCTCCAATCAATACAGGCTAAACACATCGTAGAATCCAAAATAGGATTTATGAACATTACATTTCTTCTCGCAATTCCGTTTTAATTTCAGCTTTAGGCCAAAACAGCTCACAGGTCACAAAATTGATTTTGAAAACTGCAGAACCATAACCTTCATCTCCTGGTATAAACCAAGAATTATCCAAGAAGGCATAGAAATTAAAAAAAAGGCCAATTTGCTTTAATAAAAGAGGTGACGGTATCCGGTTACCTTCGACATAAAGAAAGAAAGAAAAATCATAAAGAAAATATCATCCGCTTCATCCTCCAATCAAAATTCCACCGTCAGAAATGTTCGTGCCAACCCTCGACCCCCACGCCAATCTCCATCCAAACCACGTCACCACCGATAAAATAAATGAACCTTCTGTTGTTCCCAGTAGTATTAATGCATGGATTAGTTATCAGTGTAGTAGTGTCTGGGGGTAAAAGTAGAGGCACTCGAGAACACCTGCTGAATATAAGACAGATAATCGAGAAATCTAGGGAATTCAACATCCCACTATACATCTGTTTTATAGATTACCGTAAAGCGTTCGACAGGGTCGAGTGGAGACACTTATGGCGAATACTAAAAGAAGTAGGCGAACCACAACATCTAATTACGCTTATAACCGAACTATATGAATACACTATTGGATCAGTTAAAGTACTTGACACACTTTCGAACGAGTTTCATCCAGAACGGGGTGTCAGACAAGGATGTATATTATCTCCACAATTATTCAACATATATGGGGAGTATATTATGCAAAGAGCACTTGAAGGATGGGAAAAGGGCATCTCAATAAATGGTCATAACCTACGTTTCGCAGATGACACAGCACTTCTTGCAAATAGTCAAGCAGAGCTGATAGAACTTATACGACTGATCGAAAACGAAAGTCAAATATTGGGTCTGCAATTAAACATATCAAAGACAAAGATCATGATAGTGGATAGACTACACAACAATCATCCACACATAACCACAATTGACCGGTTCGAGGTTGTGAGCTCATACTTATATCTGGGATCATTAATCACAAACACAGGGTCATTACAAGAAGAGATTAAACGTAGACGTGATCTAGCAAAAGTTGCCACAGCAAAAATGACCAAAATATGAAAGGACTGTCAAATTTCAAAAGCGATAAAGATGAGGTTGATCAACTGCTTAATATTCCCAATACTGACCTACGGATGTGAATCTTGGACTCTGAGACAATCGGAGAGAAGAAAGATAGACGCCACTGAAATGTTTTGTTGGAGACGAATGTTACGAATTCCTTGGACCGACCGTAGAACAAATAATTCAATTTTAAGAGAGCTAAAAGTTAGCCAACGACTCTCTAGTAAAGTCCATCTCCAACAATTAAAATATTTTGGGCATGTTATGAGAGCAAACACAGAAAACGTGGAAAGACTTATAATACAAGGAAAGGTAGAAGGCCGAAAATCTCGAGGAAGATCCCCAACAAGATGGATAGATCAAATTACATGAATATGTCAAAGACCTATGCATGAATTAAAAGAAATGACCAGAGACAGAGATCTCTGGAGACGGACAATACACGACATCACGTCGATCATTACACTCCCCCTGGGGGGTCAGGATTGAAGAGAGAGAGAGAGATTGTCTGGGGGTATATTTATATATTGAAGGTAAATTTACGGTCCAAAAAAATCATTATACTTGCTGACGGTAGGGCAAGGTAAAGCGATACGGTAAAGCGGTAGGGCCTGACGAGTTTTGTGCAGAATTCCTAACACTTATGAATGAACAGGGAATAAAATGGATAACAACTGTATTCAACAACATATACGTAACTGGAAAAATACCCCAAAGCTGGTTAAATTCGACCTTCGTGACCATACCAAAAAAAGTAAATGCCAAGACATGCGAAGACTACATAACAATTAGCCTAATGAGCCACTTACTTAAAACGTTCTTGAAAGTGATACACGGCAAAATATTTAAAAAATACGAAGAACAAGTATCATGAACGCAGTTTCGATTTCGCTATTCCTTAGGCACCCGAGAGGCTCTATTCGCTGTCCAAGTGCTTATAAAAAGATGCAGGGATGTTAACTGTGATGTGTATATTTGTTTTATCGACTAAAAACATTTGGCATTTAATAGAGTTAAGCATGATAAACTGATAAACATCTTGAAAGAAGTGGGGTTAGATGATTGGGACTTGAGAATCGTCTATAATTTATATTACAACCAAACAGCCAATATTAAAGTGGATGACCAATTTACAGAGGCAGTCTCCATAGATAGAGGAGTGAGGCAAGGATGCATTCCTTGTGTTATTTAATATATACTCTGAATATATCTTCGAGCAAGCGCTGGGAGAACTACAAGAAGGCGTATTAGTCAACGGAATTAACATTAGTCAACGGAAAACAACATTAGATATGCCGACGACGCAGTAGTTTTTGCAGATAGTCTAGACGGTTTGCAAAGAATAATGTCGCATATATCAGATATAAGTAAAAAACACGGACTTGATCTTAATACGAAGAAAATAAAGTACATGGTAGTCAGTAAGCGCGAAATATTAAATACACAGCTTTTAGTTAACCAACATCCAATTGACAGAGTGGACAGCTACACATACCTTGGTACCAACATTAACAGCCAATGGGATTACTCCAGTGAAATAAAACAACGTATAGTAAAAGCGAGATAATGATGAAGTCTTCTTTTCAAAGGCACGATTTACCACTTGCTACCAATATCTCTCTCATTAGATGCTATGTATTTTCTACGTTATTATACGGAGTAGAGGCCTGGACACTTTCCGAAGCTTCTTTAAGAAAACTCAAGGCATTCGAGATGTGGTATTACAGACGTATTTTAAGAATTTCATGGGTGGATCGTGTGACTAATGTTGAGGTCCTACGTAGAATAGGCAAGAAATGCGAGATTATTAACACCATCAAAGAGCGCAAACTAGAATATCTTGGCCATGTTATGGGGAATGAACAGAGATACAGCCTGTTGCAACTCATTCTTCAGGGCAAAGTATTTGGAAAAAGAGAACCAGGGAG